TTCTGTTAAGACTTTTATAGTTTGTGCAGACTTGAGCATCCACCTCAGAAAACAGCTTTCTATTGCTATTAATCGCTTGTTTCCTGGTAAATTAGAATTCATTTGTCACCGTGATACTCATGTTATATGGTATGTTGTAATCTAATCAAGCGATCCACTCTTTCTTCTGGGTTGACCTAAAGTGTCACTCAGCTGCACAAATGGTCCTTGGTGAGTGAATGTGGTAAAACTGGGAAAATGGGAGTAAGCATCCTAATTATCTTTTCCTGCTCAATCTACAGAAATTCTCTCACTTCCTGACAGTTTCTACATGCAGAAAATGCACTGTTTCAGAAACAGTATCTTACAGTGTGTCATAACTTACAAGACCAGACAAGGAACCGAACCCACCAATGAACTTTCCTAACCTTCTGACACCAGGAAAAATGATGTTTTTCACCTGGATCATTCACAAAACAGAACAACGTATAGTGAGCTTGACTTGGGGCTCTGAGATGTGTAATGTACCATGCAAAAACCAAGATTGTAAGATACCAAATCCTCTTGCATATAGCTAGTTGCCAAGTGAACCTCCAGACCTTACCAGTTCTTAGGGCACACATTATAACACTGAAGGCCTATGTATAAAATAGAGCTGATTATTGGTATAAAACCACTTAAAATAGCTTAGCTAGAAGGATGGGGAAGATTACATCATGTAGTGTTTACAAGGAACCAGTGATTCCAAAATTAAGGTCAAGAAAATGTAACAGGTGAGAGGCAGATGGGATATTTATGTCAGAGTATTCCAACCCTTATTTCTTTCTCAAGAATCTTCCTTCTAAGTAAACCCTTCTCACTCCACAGATTGAGGTGAAAATATATCATTCTGGTTGCGTTTCCTAAACTGAGTTCCTGAAAATTTAATTGATATTCAAGAACACACTCTTTATATGGAGAACTCGTTATACAAATATAGAAACTACTACTAGCTGCACGGAATTTAAGAAAATATTCCAAATTTGAAAAAATAGCCATTTCTGTGTTGGCTTTTTGGATTTTTTTGTTTTCCTTTCTTCAAGCACATGTGGATTTTGTTACTACAAAATACAGGAGTAATATAGATATTTGAATTTAATATAGTACACAGAAATGTTTATAATATTGGAAATAAGTAAAATGCATCACAGAAGAATACTCTGTGTTTTTGGCTATATTTACAAGAGCTAAGTCCCCTGAGATTCCAAGTAATTCCAGACTTCCTGCTTTATGTTCATTAGAACTTTAAGTCAACCCATGTATGTGTTCGATATACTTAAGTTTTTAGAATTTGTACATGTATCAGTGAATATCCATTTAACAGATTCAATAATTCATTATACACAACTATATCCCCTTGGGATAGAAGATATAGACACCATTCTTGTAAGTGTACACATGTTCTAATTATTTTTGCTTTTTCATTGTCCAAAATAATAAAAATTATAATTTAGAGAGCAGTTAATGAATAGGAGCAAAGATTATGGATTGTGGTGTGAAATTCCTCCCAAATAGAGTGTAAATATAGTATGACTGTGTGTAGACATACAACCATGTTCATGTCCTGTGTAGCCAGTAAGAATTCACCACCTGACCAACTTTAAAAGTGATTTTTGGAAATTAACTTAATTCTCATTGAAGCAACCTCATAGGAAATACATTTTTTCTCAGCCCCTTTTATAAGTGGTCAAATTAAAGAACAGAGTTTAAACAGTGTTATCTGCATTGTTGTCTATACTAAGATTTTAACTGATACAGTCTTCCCAGAGTGAACCCTTATTCTACTCTATGTACACATGCGTGTGTTTCTGCATTGATATGCAGGCATACAAGTACATGTGACATGTATGTATACACATGCCTTATATGTTTAAATTAACATTGCTAATATGATTATTTAAAATAATTTTGGAACTCTAAAGCTCACATTTGGTTTGTGGATCACTGATGTGATCTACTCACATACAACATAGCATGACCTGGTGATATTTGATTAATCAAGTGAATAGAGGGAGGACCAGTTGGTTGAAACTATCTCCTATTCTGCTCTTGTTGACAGAAAAACATGGTGTATTCAGATTTTTGGCAGAAAAAAAACAAATTTCATATACCACACAAAATAGTAAGGGTCATCTCATTTGAAAGGAAAAAATACCAGACCGAGAGATAAATGAGTAGGCTGAATGTGAAATATTTGAGGAACATGAGGTTGAACTCCAGAGGATATAATGGGAAGTAACAGGCAGAATATCTAAGGAGGCAGAGTAAGGTAAACACTGAAACTTCTCATTACATGAGAATTTACGGTTTGTTAAAATGGCAAATGTAAAAAGAAGAAAAGTGAAGTCCGTACACAGTCTCTGTATAAGGCTGTACTCAGAAGGAAATGAGAAGCAATCACCACCACAGTGGTAGATGCTATTTTAGCAGTTTTAGTGTGAAAAGCGTGGAATATTGCTGCTAGGTGGAAGAGTTGTGTGATTTACAGAAAAAAAAAAGACAAAGTTATGCTGGAACTGAAGAGTTTACCAGACAAACAATGAAGCAAGGACACAGAAGCCTCCCAGTGAGAAAATGAGCAAAGAGAAAATGAAGTGGATAAATACTACACATGCAAAATGCAAGCAATTTGATAGGATTGTAATATGAGGTCCATTGAGTGAAAGGTTAAAGAGAAATTCCTGCCATGTGGGGCACGATGACTTACTGTGGGAATCCCACCATTCAAGAGACTGAGGCAGGGAAATTGGGAATTTGATGCCAGCCTGTACTACATACCAAGACCACATCTCTTTTACTTTTTTTCTTTATTAAACTCAATGACCTGATTCATAGAATTTTATGAAAAATATTAAGAAAGAACAGAAATTTAGTGTTCTAGCAATGATACTCTCACTAAGAAAGCACACTCTATTAAAAATGTAAAATATTAAAATACAGAAATCGTTGGATGATGGTGGCACACATCTTTAATCCCAGTACTCAGGAGGCAGAGGCAGGTGGACGTCTGTGAGTTTGATTTCAGCCTGGTCTACAGAGCTAGTTACAGGATAGACTCAAAAGCTACAGAGAAATGCTGTCTCTGAAAATCAAAAAGAAAAAAGAAGACACAGTAATCAGCCGCCATAATGAGGCTTTCTTAGCAGTGCACACAGTTTTGCATTGAGGAGCTGTGGTGCTCTTTGGTTAACCCGACTTCTCTCTCATGTCTCAACTTACCCATCTTTTCTTAAGAAACACCTCTGCTGACCTCATTAAACTGCTCATATGTCAGAATGTGCCCTGTCTTTAATTCTATGCATTAGAGCAAGCATTTATTTATTGAAGGGCTATTTGATTTTATTTTACCTTCACAAATATATTAATCTTGTTTGAGGGAATGATATTTTTAAGGCATGTGTCTGAATATTGACAATAGAAATCAGAGAATACTCTGGCCCTACTACACTCTGAGATGGGTTGGGGAGAGGGTATCCATGACAATAGGAAAGCATAGATATGAGTTGGTGGGAGAGCAGATTTTCAGGGGCACATTGATAACTCGTCAATGAAAAGCATGGAAAAAAATTGAGACACAATTGATGTTTTCTTTTTTTTTTTTAAATCTGGCTGATCTCTTACTTTATAAGTAAGGCTGAATTCAATCCTATGGTAAGCTTTATGCCTCAGCTACGTCGGGGCTGGAAAATACAAGGGTAAACACCTGTCCTAAATCCTGGGTCATTTGGTATAATGCTCAGTATACTTTGGGAAATCACCTGATGTGGCAAGCAGAGAGTTAGATATGAAACTGTGAGGATAAATCCTTGTTTGTAAAATTTTAATTTTATGACTGAAGCTAAAGATTCTGTCTCTGACTTAACTGAGGATCTTAAGGATTAAATTGAATAATTTCCCTCATCTGCAAGAATCCTTCTGATGACTTGCTCTTCTCTCTTCCAGGAGATGAGTGTCAATTGCTCCCTGTGGCCGGAGAACAGCTTGTCTGTCAAACGCTTTGCATTTGCCAAGTTCTCTGAGGTCCCTGGAGAGTGCTTCCTCCTGTTCACCCTCATCCTCCTCATGTTCTTGGTGTCGCTGACAGGCAATGCACTCATAGCCCTTGCCATCTTTACCAGTCCAGCCCTGCACACACCCATGTACTTTTTCCTGGCCAACTTGTCTCTCCTGGAGATTGGCTACACTTGCTCTGTCATACCCAAGATGCTGCAGAGTCTTGTGAGTGAGTCCCGAGGGATCTCTCGGGAGGGTTGTGCCACACAGATGTTTTTCTTC